CAAGTGACATCACTATGTTCTATGTTTTCTTGAACCAGTCGAAATGATCGAACGAGTCAACTGAAATTGGACTCAACACATAAAAAAGTAGGACAGAGTTTATAACGTTTACAAATGTTCTATCAAATCGTTACGGTGCTTTGAGAACCTTACATAGTACTGACCTATTTATTTCTACTCAACAAGTGAGATCCTGAACCTTCTAAACAGTTCTGCACACCYATATATAAGCAAATTAAGAAAACCTTTTCATAGATGATCACCTGTTGTAGGAAGATTTGCAAAATTAGCTACGAAACAATAACCACTTCATAGTGGGGGTAGGAAAAAAGTGAAAAAATATATCGATTATAAGATAGTGACTGCGGTCTAAGTTCGCAACCACTACTTTYAACAAGTCACCGAAGCTACAAAATAACAATGGTCTTCGTAGAATAAAGAAGACTTACAAAGTGTTTTAGCGCATACATACATTCAATTATAGTTTTAAACTGCCCGCAAAAGTRTTTAAAGTGTTCGAGGAAAACTGAATCAAGAACAAGCGTAGCAGAAAATGTTTATATAATATTATATTCAATTGTAATAAAAAATTATTCTTAATTTTACGATTTATAAATGTAAAATACATATTGTACGAGTATATTCCGTGACTTACGATTTCCCGTTGCAGCTTTGCGATATTAAAATTCGCTTGCGCCAATCGTACGCTCAAAGTGGCAACATCGCTGGTCAATTGCGCACGCTCGCCAGTATTGCGATCCACCAATTTKAGCAATTTATCCTCCAAACTTTGATTCACTTTTTGCACACGTTTATGTGACTCATATAAACGATCATATTTATCTTGCCACGCAATGACACTATCTTCCAGTTCAACTTGTCGTTCGGTTTCCTGTATGCATGCTGTTTCCATGGCGACAATTTGACTATGTTTCTCRAGCAGAGCCTGCTTGAGCGCCTCGATTTCGGTAGTGGCTGCAAGCAAATGCGCYTCGCAATGATTACTTGGCTGGAAGTAAGGCAAAAAATGGAGTAAAACGTAAGTGTCAAGTGCAGTATTTATAAATTAAGATTTGGGTATATTAAAGTAATGGATTAATTAACTAACGCATTTCCCTTTTCATACATTAACACAATCTTCTTAAGATTGAGTAGTTTAGGTGAGGTTCCGTGGCCGCTCCCAAGAGAGCATCACATTTCGACTGATCACAAAGTGTTAATGCATTGCTCTCTCAAAGCTTAGGCAGTTAACTAAGTAAAAAGTGTTGAAATGTTTTTACTGACATACGTAAAGATTTTTTGATAGTAAAAAATTTTCCTTACCACGTGTATGATAGATGCCAGTTAACCTTATATTTATAATTCTACTTATGGTGAGACAGAAATGTCTTGCYTTGGCCAGGCACACATGGCAGCCTTGTCATAAATAACTCGCAGCTTGGATACTCTTATATATGTAGTTCAAAAGTATTAACTACATAAATTACTATATTAAACGTATTTCAATATTCGAAAATTAATCTGCACGACCTGCTTTCTCGATTAATAGTTTAAAATTTTATTACGAATTAGCCTTTAAAAGCAGTTTAAATCAAAGGGGCAATACTTCTGAACCGTTGAAGAAAATTAAAAAGATTTTTTTAATTGRGCAAGCCCTTGCTGATTCGAATAATTGACTTTTTATTTGTTCGAAAATCCGATAAAACACATAACTGAGACGACGTAACTACTTTTTTTTTAAGGTTACACTCCCATTGTGTCTATAACAGCGCGAATGTAATCATATTTCGGTAAGTTCATACCAAAATATACTTTATGAGTGCATACAAGTATTGGCTACAAATAGCAGTTAGTTTTTCAGATTTTTCAAATTTTCCAATATTAATACAGAAATTTAGATATGTTTTATCTGGTAATCCAAGTAGATGTTTTTTTTCGATAGTCTATTTTGACAGATCACTTGTGMGTCCTGTCAAACTGTAATGTTATTGTTCAGTATTGTTTGGCATTTTATCATCGAAAAACTTAGGCCTGACCAACGTTTTCGAAACGTTCAAATTTATTACGTAAATTCACATTCTGTAATGAATATGTTTCACGCGCTTCGTTCAACTTATGGTCAACATAATCAGCCTACAGAGCGTATTCGAAACACCATAACTCATCTTTAGACCCAGYATTAGTTACTAGATAATATTCGACCGAATAGACCACGTCCAGCATGCATTGAAGAAAATATAGCAGCCGTAGCTGTGAGTGTACACGAAGACCGTGGATTTAGCGCCGTTTGCAACAACTCGGACTGACGTATGGAACGACTTTTACGCTGTGATCTTAAATTAAAAAGTTACGTAATACAGCTTGTGCATGAACTGAAGCAGCTCGACCTTCCCAAGCGGCATCGCTTCGTTCAAAGAGCTCTTGAATAGTTCCAAGAACAATCGACGTTTTTTAGCCAAATTTTGTTTAGCGATGAGGCCCATTTCTGGCTAAATGGGTATGTAAATAAGCAAAACTGCCGATGATAATGAAATTCAGCAGCTGCCATTTAATATAGAAAATGGAATGGTTTGGTGTGGTTTGTGGGACGGTGGAATCGTCGGTCCACATTTGTTAAAAAACGATCYTGGTAAGAAAGTAACCGTCAATGGCGCCATGATAACCGACAATTTCATGACTGAAATTGAAGCTCGTAGTCTCAGCGACATTTTGTTTCAACAAAACTAACTAAAGCCAACATTAAATTTTGTTTTAAAATTGGAAAAACTTTTACCGAAACATTTCAATTGATGAAACAAGTTTATGGCGATGATTGTCTATCCCGTAGCAGAGTGCACRAGTGGTTTCAACGTTTTCAAAGTSGTCGAGAGGACATAAATGACGATCAACACGTGGGCCAATCAAATTCCTTCGAAATTGTGAGTGAATTCAACAAAAATCAGGCGAAATCATCATTGAAATCATCATTGAAATTCATAGAAATGGAATTGAACATCTCCAAAACATCGATTTATCGCATTTTCACCTAACAAATTTCATGCACAAATTGACTGACAACCAAAAATTGCGCAGCATCCAACATTCGAAGAACCATTGTTTTACCAAAAATCACATTTTAACCATAAACTATTAACCAAATGCAAATGCATTTGACCATGAAAGCAAAGGATTTTGTTCGAAAAAACCATTTGTTTTTGTTTTTTTTTTTAAGTCCTGTTTACTTTGGAACGTTCCTTGGATATATCTAATTCTGGATAATGCTAGGAAGAACCAACAAATATGAATGAAGTTTTATGAGTCCAACAAGCCGCAATATAAACAGTTTAGTGGGATTCTCAATTGCCTTAATTARTTATTAACTATACCAGATGTGAACCGCATTTGTTAAACAAACCCTGCACTAACCTGTCTGCACTCTAGAGCTATGATTATTTTTAAATAGAAAAATTCTGTTTTTCACTTTAAAAATGGTCAAGTTCGCTTGAGACATATTAAAATGAAAACACATTAACAGTTTGAAATTTTATAGGCTTGTGCTATTAGTTGATTAAATTATCATATAATTTGTATAAAGCATTCTAAAGCACTTCAAATTCAACCATACGGTGACTACTGTATATGTGACCTTCACAAATATTACCTTGTGCACTTAATAGTTCAGTTACAGTCAGCTTGTGTTGTTAGTGGTAATATTATAATTTCATTGAGGAACTGAAATAAAGCGCGCCTTTTATCAATATTTTGTGTTTTTCGTTTAAACAGTGAAGCTAATTGTTGAACATTATTGTACAAACATTAAGTGAGATTTAACCTCTAATCATTGCTGTTGCTTGYTTCGCGCAGTTCTTCTTGAAACCGATGACTATTTGTTTAATTTTTTAGGGGCAGATACATATATCACTGTATAATATTATTTTATTTTCTTTAAAGGTGGCTTCACATGTTGTTGATTCAGCACAGAAAAAAAAACACATACAAAATTTTCGTCTAACCACTGACACTGAAAAACCGTCGTTTCTACATTTCTATTTAGATGCTTAGATGCACATCTGCATACGCATTTACATACGTCATAAAACAAGCTGCACCCGATTATAGCAAACAATTAAACACACAAGGGTTCTGCAAATCCGACCGTTATCGTTACGAAGAKACGCGTACACTGACACTACAAATGATTTAGCTTTTATGATGACAACTGTTGCTGCTGCTGTTACTCTGTTAAGTCGCGCAGCAGTCAAGTAAAATTTATTTAGAGTGATAACATATTTTACAATATTATATTATATATATATATTATATATGCAGAAATGTATATGAGTAAATGAGAACATATCAAGATTTTAAAGGGGTATATGAACGCATTATTGTATGAAAACAAAACAAAATGTTTAGCATCATTATAAAAAGATCCGTACAAATTGGGTGCTGAGGCATGTGGCTGGCGTCCATTTATCATAGCACAATGCAGAGCAATATCAGCTGAGAGTAGGGATTCTGCATACACACATACATACGCTTGCATAAATGTATGTACATATGATTAACTTTTAACGCCTAGCATTGATAAGCTTCCATGTCAGCTACAACAAACAGAAATTTAAATGTCATAGGCACAGTAGACACATAGCAACATTATCGCTCTAGCATTATTATTATAGAATGGCTAAAGCTTAGTGAGTACCAAATTACTTGTTTCACTGTTAATGCCTTTCCCATTATTTCACAAAAATTGTATGTATCGAACAATAATATACCAAAAATTTAAATGCAAGTTGCCTTTTTTTTTGATTAGAGAGGTTTCTTGGGCTTCCTAGGGTAAAAACAGCCTTTTTTCAAAAAAAATTTTCTGTTAGAAAAAATGAAACATTTTATTACAATTTTTTATTGTTACAAACATACACTATTAATATCCTTACAGGACCATCTAGCTAAAAAAAAAACTGAAAAATGGATTTTTGGCAGACATTTTTCTAATAAAATGAAAATTTCAGTAAAAATTTCTACACATTTTTTTTTTCAAATAATTGTAATCGAAAAAAATCCTTGTTTAAGAAGTGTATCTTAAGGATCTGTATAAAATGTTGTTGTTTTTGGCTGTATAAAATGTCATGTAGATCGGTTGAGTAGTTCTCCAGAAATCGTGCCAATCGCGCATTTAGCCTAGCTAGCCTCGACAGCACAAGTTCTCATGGCTGCATCTCCGAAAMTATTACTCGGATCAAGTTTAAAAWTTGGGACAGTATTCTATATGTGTTGTAGATTTTAATAAGATATTAAAAGACCGATTTTTTGAAATTTATTTTTATTGAAATCGATTTAATTAATTTCAGCATTTTAGCTTCTGGTATAAAACATATTTTCTTAGATATCTGCAATATCTTCCTTAGAAGTAATTAGATTAAATTAAATTATATATAGCCATAGAACCACCCTGTCTGTACATATGTAAATATTTTAATCAGCAAATCCACCCATCAGTCTGCTAAGTCATTATCTACTCTTTTATTCATATTTCTCTGTTGATACATGGGATGCTTTTTTATACAACAATCGACGTAATGAGCCCGTTATCAAGCTACGAAATTACAGAGGTACGAGTATATGCGTTGACTCTGTTCGACGGCTTTGTTCATACAGTGATATTGGTTTGCATTCATACGCATCAAGCTCACGATGTTTTTTAGACATATAGTCTTCCAGAAGAAATAAAACTCATATACTATAATGTTATGGTCAGGAATTATAAAAACTGCAAAGGCTGGCTCGTGTAAATTCAGACAAGTCTATAGACTATCGACATAGCCCCATAAAACAAGTCCAGCAGATTGAAATCTAATCATTAATAAGACCATGCCACGGGTCCAAGACGCGAGATAATGCGCTCACCAAAAGTTTCCTTCAATAAATTGATTGTYTCGTTGGCTGTATAGAATGTAGCGRCGTCTCACATTTGATGGTCATTTCGTTTTGAGCTCATTCACCGAACGTGCGACGTGTTTGACTACTTCGACTTCAATTCTTTCACAAGACGGATTTTGTAAGTCTACAAACCCTTCCGGATAAAATATACAACTCGATTTCGTCATTCATTATAGTTTCTGCCAAAGAGCATTATACTATTTGTTATAATTCCTTGAACCGATTATTCTCTTGAAGTGTGGAAACAGATAAAAGTCACTCTAAGTCAGATCCGTAGAATACAGTGAATGATAGTATTTCGCAGTCCAATTCAGGCAATTTTTCATCGTTCCCATTGACTAGTGATCATTGATTCGATTGACTGTGAACTTGCACGGCAATTATTGAATCTTTAATTGTTCTAATCAAAAAATCTGTTGTTAAAAAAAATATAAATGCCAAAAAAATCGTTGAAGTGATTTGTGATATCTGAAATTTAATATAAAAATAGRCGGTGGCAGCGTAGCCGCTCAGCGCGGTATTYGCCGTTGCCAATGCACAAAGGACTATAAATCTTCCCCACAACTTGTCTCTCGAAAACTCGTAACGCCGACCAATCACTTGTAGAATTTGGTCTTTGTTTTTCAGAGAACTTTACTTCTCAATWGCCTCCTCCGAAATAGCCGCTGTTGACGTTGTTTATGGTGTGAATGCTGGTTCCAAGACGAAATCATCTACGACTTCAAAGTTATGACTACCAACATGGATTTGGCCAAGTCGCGAATGCAAAATTTRCTTGTTCAATGACAAGAGATATTCTTTGTCCGTCCAGGAGAACGCAAAACTAACGGCGCAGTTGTTTAGACCAATGATATCGATATCACTGGCATAGGCCAGCAGTTGTACAATCTTGTAGAAGAATGTACCTTCTCTGTTTAGCTTTGCAGCTGTAATTATTAACTCCAACAGTAGATTGAAGAAGTCCCACGATATTAAGTCTGCTTGGCTGAAACTTCGTTTGGTATTGAACGGTTCGGAGAGGTCCTTCTCGATACTGACGGAGCTTTTGGCGTTGCTCAACATCAGCTTACACCTGGTGAATATCTGGTCAGTTGTTGATTTTTGAGGTCTAAAAAGCCACATTGATAAGGTCCAATCAGTTTGTTGACAGTGGGCTTTAAACTTTCGTACAGTACGCTAGATAGCGAAGCTGAAAAGTCTTATCCCACGGGGGTTGGCGCAGATTGGGAGCCTTCCTTTTTGTGTATTGGGCAGAGCTTACTTAAAGTCCTGCAAGTTTTCGTCCGATCACATTCTACAAAGAAGCTGATGCATGCTCCTGATCAGTTTGAATAGCTCGACCGGCAATGCATGGTCCCCGCCGGTTTTAGATTAGATTACAAGAGCATAAAATATTCTAGGAATATTCTTCCACTATTTACGTAAGARCAATTATTTTATACAAATCACCGAAATAACTTATATGCACTTCAAAGTAATCCTTCGAATAAAGAAGAAAATCAATTGGACACACAAATACTGACTGGTATGTGGTACGAACGAGTATTATTCTCTATGTTGCAAGTAACATATTTGTAAACAAGCATCTTAAAAGTTCGAGTTGGTCGAAAAATTGCATTCTGCGGGAGGAGAAAACAAGAAATTCAATTAACTTAACAATTCGACTTGCTTGAGTTGTGGTAACTAAAGCCACCCAGCTTTGGGCAAAGTTCTACACCAAAAGCACATCAAGACAGATGTGGTGATGTCAAGTAAACCACATACACCAACAAGTTGCATGAGCTCACACTTTCTTCCAGCAGCACTTTCATGCAACACTGCACAATGTCAACTTGAACTTTGTAACTTTACTTAATCATATTTCACTTACGATTTGCTCATATTTTGCAAGCCAAGCAAACGCCAAGCTGCGGGGTGCGCATTRTGGCAGCTCACGCACGCCAGCACACACATACAAATGCATATGTATATTTGTTCGTGCGTGCTCTGGTAAATGCATATACTCGTACTTATGATAGTGCGTGCAAYTTTATAGTTGAGTTTAGCAGAATATAAAAATATTAAAACTTAATTTCATTTCACGCAGCTCAGCAGTAACGCCCTTAAACCCACGGCAACGACGAGTATAAGCTTCTAAGGGCGTGGCATGGTAAACTGTTCTTCAGAGGCACTTTCTTTCAGTCCGCGGGATAAGCTTTTCTAAGCAGTTTAAGATATGCTAACATACATAACCAAAGCCTTGCCCTGTCAACGATAATTAAAAATAAATATTATAAATATGATCTCATAGAAGAAGTTTAATAAATTTAATTGGAGGGGGGACAGAAACAAGTTTCAAAGTAATAATTCAATATTCGGAAATTGAATTAAAGTTTTACAAAACAAATCTTAAATTTGCAATATTTGAATACCCTTGTATTAGCTTTGATTATACCCATAATTCCATTTGAATTTTTTTATTGTGTTAGAACTTAGAGAGAACAATTAAATTAATTATTTTTTGTATTTGTGGTTGTGGTTTCAGTTGACTTTAAACTATTTTAATCTTATAATTTTGTTTATCAAAACGAAAAAGTTAAATGACACATATGTATGTAGATGAGAAAACTGGCAAGAAAAATCTTAATAAAATTTTAATCTTATCATTATGTTCCAAGACTACGGAATCATTGAAAATATCGCAGAAGTGTTTTGGGGAGTATACTTTATCACGAACACAAGTAATTGAATGGCAACTCCTGGATGACTTTAGCTTTGGAACTGGTTTGTAAGTAGGATTAGCTCTATAAGATTTGGTAGAACCATTGGCTGGTGGTTGTGGCATTTTAATCGCGGAGTATGATGAGGTGATACTCATCAGAAATGGCTGAAGGGCTAATATCGCAACCGCCTCCGTCCCTTTAAAACTCTGGCAGTTATCAGAGTACGTTCCAAAACCCTCGTCGTTAAGTTAGCGTGGTAGGTATTAGGTGAGAAAAGTCCTTCTTTGCGCTAGTTGTGCACCGACCCTCGCCTTAGCCCCGTCACTGAGACAACCTTAGACGACTACCTTTTCGGAGGATTCTCGGCTCTGAGTGGGGACCCTTTTTGCATGGACAAGATAACAAAAGCACAAACGTTAACGAAAAGGTGGTTAATGGAAAGCTGACGAAGGGAAGGGATATCCAAATCTATCCCGAACTGCAGCAACAATACCGCAACCTCAGTAGTAAGAGGCCAATCTGTGAGCA